CCTTTTCAATTGGTCGCAATTTTGCCACGTCAGATTGCCACGTCGGATCCGACGTGGCCTGGGCAGACAGCCAGTGACAACAAAAGGTCATGGGTTCAACGACCTTCTGTTTTGGTCGTAAATGTCTACGACCTTCTCAGAGAGAAGGTCGTTAATTTTAGTTTACGACCGCCAGCTTTTGACCTTCTGTTTTTGGTCACAAAAAGGTCACAAATGAAAAACAATGACCTTTCAGTGACCAATAGTCAAGGTCACAAGTTGACATATTTCTTGTAGTGCCAAGAGAGAAGCCATCCCTAGCAATGTGTTCTTGGAGCACATTCATACACCTTCAGTTCAAGAAGATCCCTTCACTGAAGAGCCCCCACAGCCGAAGAGTGCCACCCATCCGACTGAAATCAAGGTTCCAGCCATAGTCGATTTGATTTTGGAGGTTTTGGTCATTGCCCCCGATTGGACAGTACCATATATCGCATACATTCTTAGAAGGGAACTCCCAGAAGATGAAGAAGAGGCTCGACAGATCATCCGGTGATCTAAAGCCTTTACTTAGATAAGAGGACAATTGTTCAGAGAAAGTGTGACTGGAGTTTGCCAGAAATGCATAACGCCCGAAGAAGGTCGAGTGATCCTCAACGACATCCACTCGGGGACCTGTGGTTATCATGCGTCCTCTCGGACCATTGTGGCCAAATCATACCGAGCGGGATTTTACTGGCCACGGGCAAATGAGATGGCACAAGAAATAGTCGACAAATGTGAAGGTTGCCAGTTTTACTCCAACATGTCTCACAAGCCTGTGTCGGCCCTGAAGACCATTCCACTCATCTGGCCCTTTGCTGTTTGGGGATTGGACATGGTTGGATCTCTGAGGACTGGTAGGAGTGGATTCACTCATGTGCTTGTAGCAGTCGACAAGTTCACCAAGTGGATTGAGGCCAAGCCTATCAAGAACCTTGATGGCAGTACTCCTGCCAGCTTCGTTAGAGAGATAACATTCAGATATGGTGTTCCACACAGCATCATCACTGACAACGGATCAAACTTTGATTCTGATGAGTTCAGAACTTTCTGTGCTTCACAAGGTACTCGAGTCGACTATGCCTCAGTCGCCCATCCCCAGTCGAATGGACAAGCTGAAAGAGCAAATGGATTGATTCTCAAAGGACTGAAACCCGTACTGATGCGTGACCTCAAACACACAGCAGGAGCCCGGGTCGATGAACTTCCATCAGTATTGTGGGGATTGAGGATAACTCCCAATCGGTCGACTAGCAGAACCCCATTTTTCTTGGTTTATGGAGCCGAAGCTGTACTTCCGAGTGACTTGCTCCACAATGCACCCCGAGTTGAGCTTTTCTCAGAGGAAGAAGCAGAACAAGCATGACAAGATGCAGTTGATTGATACGTCTCCAACGTATCTATAATTTTTGATTGCTCCATGCTATACTATCTACTGTTTTAAACATTATTGGGCTTTATTATCCACTTTTATATTATATTTGGGACTAACCTATTAACCCGAGGCCCAGCCCAGAATTGTTGTTTTTGCCTGTTTTAGGGTTTCGAAGAAAAGGAATATCAAACGGAGTCCAAACGGAATGAAACCTTCGAGAATGTGATTTTCTCATTGAATACATCTTAGGAGACTAGGACCCTACATCAAGGCACGTAACAGGAGGCCACGAGGTAGGGGGGTGCGCCCTAACCTACCAGGCGCACCCGCCACCATCATGGGCCCCCTGTTGCTCCACCGACGTACTTCTTCCTCCTATATATATCCACGTACCCCCAAACAATCAGAACAGGAGCAAAAACCCTAATTCCACCGCCTTAACTTTCTGTATCCATGAGATCCCATCTTGGGGCCTGTTCCGAAGCTCCATCGGAGGGGGATCGATCATGGAGGGCATCTACATCAACACCATAGCCCCTCCGATGAAGTGTGAGTAGTTTATCTCAGACCTACGGGTCCATAGTTAGTAGCCAGATGGCTTCTTCTCTCTTTTTGGATCTCAATACAATGTTCTCCCCCTCTCTTGTGGAGATCTATTCGATGTAATCTTGTTTTTGCGGTGTGTTTGTTGAGACCGATGAATTGTGGGTTTATGATCAAGTCTATCTATGAATAATATTTGAATCTTCTCTGAATTCTTTTATGTATGATTGGTTATCTTTGCAAGTCTCTTCGAATTATCAGTTTGCTTTAGCCTACTAGATTGATCTTTCTTGCAATGGGAGAAGTGCTTAGCTTTGGGTTAAATCTTGCGGTGTCCTTTCCCGGTGACAGTAAGGGCAGCAAGGCACGTATTTTATTGTTGCCATCGAGGATAACAAGATGGGGTTTTCTTCATATTGCATGAGTCTATCCCTCTACATCATGTCATCTTGCTTAAGGCGCACTTTGTTTTTAACTTAATACTCTAGATGCATGCTGGATAGCGGTCGATGAGTGGAGTAATAGTAGTAGATGCAGGTAGGAGTCGGTCTACTTGTCTCGGACGTGATGCCTATATACATGACCATGCCTAGATATTCTCATAATTATGCTCAATTCTGTTAATTGCTCAACAGTAATTTGTTCACCCACCGTAGAATACTTATGCTCTCGAGACAAGCCACTAGTGAAACCAATGGCCCCCGGGTCTATCTTCATCATGTTGTTCTCCTACTACTTTGCTATTTACTTTGCTTTTATTTTACTTTGCATCTTTACCAAAAATATTACCTTTATCATATCTATCAGATCTCACTCTCGTAAGTGGCCTCATAGGGATTGACAACCCCTATTTGCGTTGGTTGTGAGGATTTATTTGTTTTGTGCAGGTACAAGGGACTTGCGCGTAGCCTCCTACTGGATTGATACCTTGGTTCTGAAAAACTAAAGGAAATACTTATGATACTTTGCTGCATCATCCCTTCCTCTTCGGGGAAAACCAATGCAGTGCTAAAAGAGGTAGCATTGATCTCTTGGAAGAAGAAAGAGAGATGGCCTTGGTCCAATCAACCATCTATCAACAAGACCTGCGTTGATTCCATGCCAGAAACATGAGGGGTCGAGAATTTCAAGAGGGAGACTTGGTTCTCCGAGTGGATCAGCAGAAACAACACAAGCTTGCTCCCTCTTGGGAAGGCCCCTTCGTTGTCACCAGAGTGCTCCACAATGGAGCGTACAACCTCTACGACGTCGAGCACAAGAAAGACGAGCCGCACGCTTGGAATGCGGAGCTGCTCCGCCCCTTTTATACTTAAACACTCAGTCTGTTGAGATGTAATAAGAAGCACCTTTGTAGTTTGTTTATCAAAGACAAGAGTTTTTACAGTCTTCTGAAAATGATTGTCGATTGCTTACGTTTGTTTCTGAAATCCTTAGCTGCGAATCCGTTTCACCTAAGACCCTATTTGTTTCAAGGGACTTATTGCTTTTGGGACTTATTTAAGTCCCTATAAGTCCCATCTAGACCAAACAGGAGGGACTTATAGGGACTTAAAGTGGTGATTTGGGACTTATCAAAAAAGACTCTCAGGGAGGAGCTTATTGGGACTTATCCATCGATTCCCCCGCCCCGTCCCGCATCGCTCCTACCCCGCATCGCTCCTGCCCCCTTTCGCTCCTTCTGCCGCCGCCCCCAGCACCCAAAATCACCGCCGCCCCCAGTACCCAGAAGCGCCGCCGCCATGGCCAACGATGAGGAGGACCGGATCCCCTTCTCGTCTCAGTTCCACGTGCATCATCAAGCATCGCAGGGCTCATCCGCTGGGGGAAATCTTGGGAGGGGAATGGGATTCTTGGATCTCAACCACAACGTCGACGACTTCTCGGAGTTGGGCTCGTACCAGCAACTCCTCTTCGACCAGTCCGTCGGCCATGGTCTTCCTCCTACTGGACCTGGTGGTGGGAGGCCCGTGTCTCAGGGCGGAGGAGGCCGAGCACGGTCTCTGAACTTCGGAGGCCGAGCTGGCTCTCACCTGCGTCCGTTCGTCGCCCCGAGTGCATCTGCTGTTGAGGGAGGCGTGATAGGGCGTGGGAGGGCCGTGTCGCAGGTCACCGGACGCGGTGTAGGTCGAGCCCATGGGTCCTCGTTGGCCGGCAGTAGAGGAAAAGCTGCGGGGAAGCAACGTGTGTTGTCAACTGCTGCATCTTCAGAAGATGTTGATGAGAATGAAGGCTTTGAAGATGAAGATGAGGATTTTGCTTTTGGAGAGGTAAAATTCTGATTGGTATACATAGTTAGCTTTCTATCACAGGGTGCAAATTCATCTTCTTTATATGCTAGCTAATTGTGTGTACAATGGTATACCTTGGTGTAGAATTTGAACCAGCTTGATTCTACTTTTGTTTGAATTGTGTACTTGTTATTTTTTGTTTAGAAAAACATTGCCAAGGCTGATTGGAGAGACGAGCATATTACTCTATTTTGTAACATCGCCTGTGAGGAAGCTAGGGATGGGCACTGTGTGAATGGTACTTGGACAAGTAGAGCCTACAATAACATGAAGAAAAAAATTTATCAGCGTGCTGGCCTCCTCCATACTACCAAGCAATTCAAAAATTGCATAACTAGACTCAAGAGCCACTATACTGCTTGGGTGTGGTTGGGGCAGCAAACAGGTTGTGGCCGTACTGGAGATGGAGCTATAACCGCATCGAATGAGTGGTGGAAAAAAGTAATTAAGGTACATACATTATTCTGCAAAATACATCTGAATTGCTCACACCTGGTTACATTATTTAGCCTTGTCCTAATTACCTAACTAATGTTGCAGGAGAGACCAGATGTCAGAAAATTCAAGGGTGGCAATCTTGAGTATTTGGATATGCTAATAGAGCTATTTCAAGGTGTGGCAGTTGATGGATCATCAGCTTATGTGCCCATAGATGAAGATGAAGAAGAATATGTTGTTGCCGATGATGGGAATGAGGAGAGTCCAATGAGCACCACCAGCAGGAAGAGGGGAAGCAGCGGCGGTGAACAGTCAGCAAGAAACACAAGAGCCCAATGGTGAAACTAATGACAGGGCTCATCAATACTATGAATAGTGAGAACACTTCTGACATGATCACTAAATATGCAAACAAAAGGCAGGAAGCAAAGGACAAGGCAAAGGAGAATAAAGCAAACAACACTAAGGAATCCATTACTCATTGTCAAATGTTGGCAGTTAAATGTGGTGCAGAAGAAACAAGTGTTGAGTACTTCATGGCAACTCAACTGTTTGCAGATGAGGCAAGCAAAGTCATATTTTAGAGCATTTCAAGTGATCAGGCTAGACTGACTTGGTTGAAGAGGTGGTGCATGATGAAGAAGTTGTCCTAGTGTAGTAGTGATCTTGTTTGTCCTTTTTCTAATTTATGTAATGGACCTGTACTGTGTGACTGTGTGTCCTTTTTAAATGATCATTGCATGTTACTGTGTGTCCTTTTTCATGCATGTACTAATGTTTTCAAGTTGAAGAGGTGGTGCATGATGAAGAAGTTGCACTAATGTTTGCATGTTTCAGGATGATGACAACAGTGTTGATGGAATCAGCAGTGATGATGGGAGCAGCAGTGATGATGAAGCACTGATGTTGTTCATGCACCAAAAAAGGAAGAGAAGAATGATGCAGATGGTCTGCTTGATTGGTATGTACTACTTGAACTCTTACGGTAACAAAGGACCTAGAAGAGTACCAATATAGACTGGGCATGATTGGGTTATGACAACACTAGGCAACGAAACTGCTTGTTACAACATGTTTAGACTGCACAGACCAGTGTTTGAGAAATTGCATAGTGTGCTTGTTGATTCCTATGGTTTGAAGTCCACTAAAAAATGTCATTAGTTGAGTTTGAGTCTCTAGGCCTGTTTGTTTGGATAGTAGGTTCCCCTCAATCTGTAAGACAAGCAGAAAACAGATTTATTAGGTCATTGGAGACAATTGTAAGTAAGTTTGATAAGGTTTTGTTATGTCTGATCAAGCTTGCAAAAGACATCATCAGGCCAGTAGATCGTCAATTCAGAACTGTGCATTCCAAATTAAGATCTAGAAAGTATGCACCATTTATGGATAATTGCATTGGTGCAATAGATGGGACACACATACAAGTTGTGGTACCACTTGCCACTGCTGCCCAGCAGAGGAATAGACATAAGGAGAAGAGTCAGAATGTGATGTGTGTGTGACTTTGATATGAGATTCACATTTGTCCTAGCTGGTTGGCCAGGATCAGTGCATGACATGAGGGTCTTCAATGATGCCCGATCCAGATTTGGTGACAAGTTTCCAAAACCTCCACCTAATAAGTTTTATCTTGTGGACTCAGGGTACCCAAATAGACCGGGTTATCTTGCACCATTCAAGGGTTTAACCTATCATTTCCAGGAGTACCGTGATGGCACAATGCCTAGAGGAAAAAAGGAACACTTCAATTTCACCCATTCTTCACTTAGAAATGTCGTCGAGAGGTGTTTTCGAGTCTTGAAGAACAAGTGGAGGATTTTGTTTCACTTGCCTAGTTATCCACAACAGAAACAAAGCAAAATCATTGTGGCTTCCATTGCACTGCACAATTTTATTAGACAAAGTCAACTCCCCGATATAGAATTCGACGAGTGTGATCAAGATGAAAATTATGTACCATTGTCTATGCCAACGACCACAACAAATGATTCAACAAATGATTCAACAAATGAGATGGACAGTGCTGCTATGAATCAATTCAGAGCTTGGGTGGCTGATGGGTTGTGGTCCTTGAAACAACAATGATATGAACAAGTGTTGTTCGCCTATGTAATTTCTTTTATCTCGATTGTTATGTACTCTCTCTTATTTTTGTTCTTATGAACAAGTGTTAGTCGTTTGTATGAACAAGTGTTATGAACAAGTGTTGTTTGCTTATGTAATTTCTTTTATCTCAGTTCTTATGTACTCTCTCTTATTGTGGTTCTTATGAACAAGTGTTAATCGTTTGTATGAACAAGTGTTATTTCGGTTGTCACTATTCTGTAATTCGTTTGTATGAACAAGGGTTATGTGAACAAGTGTTTTATCAACTTATAAGTCCCTGCTAACAAATAGGTAGGGACTCGGGACTTATAAGTCCCTGTAAACAAACAGTTAGGGATTTATAACTTATAAGTTGGGACTTAAAAAGTCCTAGGACTTATGAAACAAATAGGGCCTAAGTTGAAAAAATCCTACCGAGTGATGAGCAAGCCTCTCACTCGGGGGCTTCGTTGCAGTCCAGTACTCACCTAAGTTGAAAAAATCCTACTGAGTGGTGAGCATGTCTCTCACTCGGAGGCTTAGCTGCAGTCCAGTACTCGCCTAACTTGAAAAAATCCTATCGAGTGATGAGCAAGCCTCTCACTCGGGGGCTTAGCTGCAGTCCAGTACTCGCCTAAGTTGAAAAAATCCTACCAAGTGGTGAGCAAGTCTCTCACTCGGAG